CGGGTCTCCATCAGCACTCGGGCCGAGCGGAGAGGAAGAGAAACAGGACTCACACAGATCTCGTCCCCAGGACAAACAATCTGAGTGACAAGCCGGCCGGAATCCCACGGAAGTCACCCAACAGACGAGGCATTCAAACACGCAGAAAAAACAAGAGGCGCTTAGGTGGCCACAAAGGCCCAGAGGAGAATTGCACGGCATGGTTTCCTCCGTTTTTTTCCAGGAACAAAAGTTTGATCCAAACACGCAGAGGGTTCCTGCAAGAACATCTCATCTCATATGTAGTGAACTGACGAGCTGCTGCGGTGGAAATGTCAGCACATTTGCTCAAACGCGATTATTAAAAACAATTTTGAGGGACTTTGCTGGAGAATTTACAGTTAAATGTACAATCCAGAGACAAATATTGAACTTTCTAGTCGTCTAAAGTTGTAGTTTTGTGCACAAAATTGTCCCTCAGGTTCAGAAATTAAAGCAAGTTTTATTGAAACCAACAGAAATCTTTGCATTTTCAGTGACGTGTTCAAAATAATCCGGTAATATATTCCTAGCAGGGATGAATGTATGTGCTTCAGCTGAATGAAGACTTTTACTTTAATGGAGTGATGCAAACTTGAATATTTCCACTTTCACTTTAGTAAAACATCTTCATACGCATTCTGACAAAGTTATAAAGTCTGAATCTTATTAGTTTAGAAACGCAGCCGCCGATCGCCCACGTGTGGTCGTCGCCGCTCGATTATTTACTAAGAACGTCTAAAAGTTTGTCGTTGCTCCGGCGTCGGGGTCATAAAAGGAATCCGGGAGTTCCTACAGAACATAAAAGATAATCTACAGCTTTAAAAGTTTATTGTCACCTGTGAAACTTCATATTCACTCAGACTGTCCTGCTGTGGATCCGTTGCAAGGGGAAGGTGGTGGGGAGGTTTTTTTTAGATTTATGTACCTGAATGTCTGAAGATCCGGTTCATAAATCTGACACAGTGGATGAAGTTAAGGTTCAGGCACATGTTCCAGCAGGTCGGGTCTGCTCCAGAAATAGAGACAATTTGGAGGGTTTATGCAATTGTACACTGACAAAAATTAAAAAATAAATAAAATGTGAATTGATAATGAGAAAGTCTGAGTCACCAATCAGGTCAGACTGGTGTGACTGCAGCCTGCTTTGTCCAAATGGGTTCGACTGGAAGGAAATGAGCGCAGCAGCTGTCTGGTTTGGCTCCTAATAGCCTCAATTTCCACTTTCGATTAAATTACTTAGATATATTCCGGCTAATTTAATATTCTCCAGTGTGCACATATACCATGATGTGTATGTGAGACATAACAAAAGTGACTCAGATTAGGAGTTAAACTTCAAGTGACTCATGAAGCACCGTGAAGGAAAAATCCGGTGGAATAATATTAAATAGCGGTCGTACCGACGGTGGCGTGTCGCTGCAGAGTTTGCTCGCTCACCGTTTGGCGGGGGAGGAACTTGTTTAGAATCTATCAGGCATTCATCAGTTTTACAGTTTGACCACAAACCTGCAGGATCACGTGCACGCCAGGAGGGATTCCTCGGCTTTCACGTCAGCGCCGAGGAACCTCCTGCTGCACATCTGAAAACACAAAGATGGTTTAAAGAAAAAAAAGGAAAGGAAACGCACACACGCTGGTAAGTTACTGGTGTTTCACTTAATATGTCAATCACAAGGACGCTGATGACTTAATACTGAATGAGTGAAACATAAACGTGTTGTTTGGTTTGCTGAGATGAAAAATAAATGCTGTATCTGGCAAAACTGTGAATATTTAACAGGTATGTTATTGGACTTTCTGGCTGTCACTGACAAAACTAAATGCATTAATGGCGTTTGCATTGCTTTCTAATCACGTTTAGATCCTAAAAAATCAGATTATTATTTATTAATATACATCTATTGTCTAAAATGAGCCACAGTTTTTGATTTTTAGTGAAAAATCTTCACCCTGGAGAAAGTAAAGAACAGAACTGACTGCCGTTAGCCACTAAAAATGCTTTTTATCCACAGCTGCTCCTCCGTGTGCATTAATCCATCAAAGTCAAACAGAACCGTCACCTTCAGGACAAACAAAACTACCAGTTTGCTAAATGAATTAAAACACGTGGAGTGACGCCTGTCAGGACGCCACGCTGCTGCCAATTGTTTGACTCAACAGAACAATCATCCCGCGTATCTGGAAGTGATTATTTCATCCACGGCACATTTCCTCACCAGCTTACATCATTTTGATGCATCTCATTCGTGTTTGTTTTTCAAAGGGGTGTGTGTTTGAGAGTCGTGGAAGCAGGAGAGTGTTGAAACGAGAAGGAAACACCTCGAGTGAACCCCGAGGTCCCGTCTGATAACCGCCTGGTATCTTTGTATCACCAGTGAAAGCAGCATCAAAGCCGCTTTCTGGGCTGCGTCACTGCTCGAGGGTCTCCCGAGGAGGAGATCGAGTCCCGGGCTGGGAAGGAGGCCCCGAGAGCGGTGAAGTGTCCTGCATGGAGCATCGGCTGTGGGAGGCAGAGCCGGGGTACAGGGCCCAGATGGATGTCAGGGCAACATCTGTTCCACCTCCTCGCTTATCAGCAGAAACGCTGCCACACACACTGGACGGGAGAAGACGGAGAGGAAAAAGGCATTCTTTGCAGAGTTTAAGAAAACATGCCTGCTTTTGTTTGCCTTGTAAACGAAAGTTAGGTTCCCCGTCGGGTCACGCATTTGCATTTCACAAAGCTCACAGGGCTCGTTGTGTTGTGTTTCGTAGCATCTGTTTATGCCTGTGGTGAGTCATTATAACGTATGCGGCACACTTTGGTCCTTATAATTATAGCCAACATGCCAAAACACGAACAATCTATTGAGCCGCCTTTACAATAACGTTCCTCAACCAAAAGGAGCGACGTTAGTGACGTAGTTTGACTCCTACGAGGCCTGATTCAAGCGCTTCAGTCTGCAGCTGCTCTGGATGCACCAACGTTCCCTTCAGGAACCGGATCGCCAACACTTTGCCGATATTGTTGCTTTTGTGTCGTTTTTGGATTCAGCGTTCGCTCATCAGATCCTACTGGAAATACAGACATCAGACGTTATATGTTTCACATTATTCCCTTTATAAAAAAAACACTTTTGCAGGGGAAAGTAAAGTGTAAGTGAAAACACACTCAGGAATGTTACTGTAGCGTCTGACTCATGTTTTTGCTGCACTGAAAATGATTAAATGTGAGAATATTTTCTCCTCACACGGCTTCGTCTGTCTACGTGCTATATCATAAAACCATGAGTCATGTGTTTGTTCTCTGTAAATACTGTAACCAGGCTGTAAATGAACTGAACGTGTAACAAAACCAAAAAGACAAAAGCTATGATGCAGGTTGCAGCCTTCGTTTAATAATACGGATAATTGCTCGCGGTTGGCATGTTTGAACTCTTGTTGCACAAGTTCAGTTGGCTTCTGTGCAGCGTCTGCCTCATGGTCTCTTTGCATGTTTTTTTTTTTTTTAAAACAAATCACAAATTCGCTTTATGTTTCTGCCAGCAATTAGGCCCGCCATTGATTTAAAAATGTCTGTGTTCTTCCTTCCAGGCAGTCGTTAATTATCGTTAATTTTGTTGAATTAGAAGAAAATCTACTTGCTGAGACTTGCTTGTTTCTAGAGATACCGTATCCATCACAGTAAACATGGCGCCTGTTACCGGGAGACTGATTAAATAACTGCACTGGAACGGCAACGTAGGAGACAATTAAACAGGTAGAGCAGGTAAAGGTTCAGTGTGGGAGGAGAGGACCGGCTGCATCTTTTCCAGGGGAGTGAAACCAACTGTACAGACGGAGAGAGAGAGACGGAGGCAAGGAGGAGTGGAAGAGTGAGAGCTCCTCTTGTCTCTCGTCTTTCTCCGGGGAGGGCTGCCTCACCGAGGTCCGCGGCCTCTTCCCTTCCCCTGGGCTCTCTGGATGTCCATGCTGAGGGAGGGCTGCTTCGGTGTGACCAAAGGGAAGCAGAGCGAGTAAGAGTGAGACAGAGAGATGGAGAGAACCTGAGCAAAAAAAAAAATGTAGAGGAGAGAGAGAGAAAGAAGGACTTAAAATAGAGAGAAAGTGAGTGCGACAGGAAGATAAAAGGGGAGCGAGACGAGCGCAGCAGCCCATGGTTTGTCTCAGGGCTGCAGCAGCTTCCAGAGCTGGTGTGCAGCAGACTGAAGAGAAGCACGTCTGCCCCAGAGGCAGAGACTGGAAAACAGGATCAAAGAGTCGCCAGGGCAACCTGCATGACACACATTGTATTAAAGCCACACGGTTAATTTGAAAGAGAGGGAAGAAGGGCAAAAGGAGAAGAAAAGGGGAGGCAGAGGTAGCAGGAGTATATTTATCAGGAACTCCTGTCTCACTCGGTTAACTTTCCACTCAAAACTTTCTTCAGCTGCTCCACTTTGACCACTTGAAAAAAAAAAAAGCCAAAAAAAAACCCTTTGGCTCAGACTTCACTGGCTCATCTGCGTTTTCCTGATTATCTTCCAGCGTCTCAGGTTTCCACAGGTCACCTTAAATCACGAATCAGAGACACTGTGAGGAGAATAGTTCCAGGAACAAATGAAAACATTCAGGTCATCACATATTTCACACTGATACACGGAGTATAAATAGCACCTTGTACGAATATTCACCTAAAATAGACCCAACAAATCCGCTCCCTGAATTCGTACCTGGTCGGACTGAAATTTCTGCACAAATCCTACAAACATGAGCGACACAGTTCCACCGTTAGTCTGTGAGGAAATGTTCATGTTGTCATTCATATTATAAAGATTTACTGCAAGACTTTAACAAGCAAAAGAACAACTACGACAGGATTTTAACTTTTAAAACTTTAATTGGCATTTTAAACAAAATGTATGATTGAATAATAATAAAAATAAAAAAAACAGACTGCAGTGAGTGTTTTAAAACGTCTGTGTGAACAAATGATATGAAAGATCCCAACGCCGCTAGAATCCCTCGTCAACAGATTTATTTTGCATTTCAAGCGAACAAATGCACTGATCCACTCAAATTCTCACATCAGGTACAAAAAGTGATCATATCTCTAAAAACCTGACAAAAATACTGATCAAAAAGAACGACACGGATACAAAGCACATGGGGACGAGGCGTGAACGGCGTCCGCTATGTCGGGGACGAGCGCACACACCTGTGGCACAGCGAATACATTTGAGAGGTGTGGAGTCCACACGAGGCCGGCCGGGCCGAAGCATGGCGTCTGGGACAGAGAGCAGTAATGTGGACAGGGAGCGGAGGGGCTGTGCCGGTGGGGACGGGCTGGGACGAGGTGGGGCAGCAGACAGGGAGGGGTCTCCAGACAGTTGGAAGGCATTAGGGTGTCGGACAGGGACTTGTCAGATGCAGCTGTTGCTGCGGCTGATTGATAGTTTGTATTCCGCCCTGATGGGAGGCTGCAGTCACGAGCCACTGCTCAGAGGGATTATGTCAAATGCAAAAAGAAAAGACATACTGTAAAAAAAATAAACAAAAACAAAAACAAACAAACATGACAGTTGCTGAACACAGAAGAGAAGCTACATCCGTTACGTTGCTCTACTGGCGGCTACGTCCAGCCCAGCCAATCATCAGCTTTCTTCTCTTTTGGTCTTTGATTTGAAAGAATTCATAGTTGTGGCATATGCATGTGTGACATATAAAAAATCCCAACGCAGCTCTACGAGGCTAACATACAGAGCTAGAAAATATATCCTAAGTTGCACATTTATAAAAGCATTCAAACTTGTTCCCACTTTCTCCGAACGGACTCCATAAAGTCACCTAGCACTTAGTCACATGATTAGTAGTACTTGTGTATGGCTGCACAGGAGGGTACACGGCAACACGCTTCTCTGCATGTACATAATACTCCATGAGATACTCAGACTACGCTATTCAGGTTAAGATATTCAGACACGGTGCGACACACCGATATGTAACTACCGTACATAACACGAGGCTTTGGACTATGCACTCCAATCACACAACGTCGATCGTTGTTGCCGAGTCAGAAGGAGAAGCGCGCTCGACGGCCATACAGTACTTCTCAGTGGAAAGAACATCAGCCATGCCCACCCAAACATCCTGCAAAGTAATTAGTGGAGATGTTAAACATATCTACAGACAACCTGGGCTCCACTGTGTGTGTGTGTGTGTGTGTGTGTGTGTGTGTGTGTGTGTTAGTGTCCAACGCTAGCTAAAGGAATGCCATACGTCCCAAGTGCCACTGATTGATCACAACGGCACAAACGGTGGTACAAGAGATCTCCATTGTTGGCAAAGTTCGATGATTCTTCTTGACAAGCTGCTTGGCTCTGGGTGGCTTTAACGGTGACGCTCCTCCGTCGGGCTGGACCTGCTCGTGCACGCTCTTCCGATCCGAAAAAATGAGGCCGCGGTGAAGGGAGGATAACATACTATACATATCTCAAAGAAAGAGGCCAACATCTGCCGTGTTTTCTTGTGTGTTTGTGTGTGTGTGCATCAGTGTGTGTGTGTGTGTGTGCGTGTGTGTGTGCATGGGCAGGATGTGGTGGTCGTTAACCGCTAACGTCTCTCAGCATTAGCAGCATTAGCATCATATCCTTGCGGGCTCTGTGTCTTTGTCCTCCAGCAGGCTAATAAACTGGCCGAAGCTCTCCTTCACCGCCTCCATGTTGTCGGTGGTGCTGCCCTCCAGGATCCAGCGCTTTCCTCGGGCCAGCGGTTCCAGCTCAAAGTACTTCTTGACCTGCAGCCAGAAACACATTGTGGTCAGTCAAACCGCTCAGTAGCTCCAGAAAGTTACCACATGTAGTCATCGGGAATCAGAGCTCCTGGTTTCAGCGTATTTACTCTAAACGTGAGTAATCTCAGTCGTCTGCGTTCAGATTCAAACTACAGATTTTACCCTAAGAAGAAGCAACACTAGCATCAAACTGTGGGCTATTTATGGCAACATTTTCATCTCAAACAAACATTATACCACATGAATTCAATTAGTGAGTCACCCTCCAGCACATGGCAGAAAGTAGCCGGCAGCACCGTGTGCTTTAGTACCTGCTAAGACTTTTCTAACACCAGCATTGATTTCATTCAGCCAATTGGGAGCGAAGCCGAACTTTGCAGTTCTTCTTCGTTATCACAGTGCAAACTAATAATTAAATCAAGCAAAATAGAATAATCGTAAACGAATCCCTTTTATCTGAGAGAAGCCGCGGCTCCTCGGCTTGGCACTGCTCTTCGCAACAGTTGATTATAAAGTTCATATGTTGGCTTTTGGCAGCTCTCGACGGTGGGGGTGTGGTGAGGGGGTTTTTTTGGGGGGGAGAACCAGAACCAGCTGTTACGTAAAAACAAATCTCAGCGGAGGGAAACAATGTCTTAGACCTCCACTGAAGGTACTGCAGGTTGTTAGGGGTTCTGACATTTTCAAGCTGAGAGCAATGGAAGCAATTTTTTTCGCCCGATGCGAACAAAGTTCAGCCATCTCCTCCTGTTTGTCTGATAGCCAGTGGAGGAAGTACAAAGGAGCGCCGTCAGCAGCTCTGAGGATTATCGTGCTATTAATGTCACAGATGCAATAAAAGCACAATTTCCCACCTTATTAACTTATTGAGTCAGTTTCATGCTCTGTTTGACAGTCGTGGTTTTAGAGGTTCAGAGGAATGCGTCCGTCATGTGCTGGAACTATTTGGCTGGAAGAAAAATTCTGAATATGAAATAAAAAAAAACTGACCAAACATTCCCAAAGCTGACTTTTTTTTTCTTGGTTTCCTGTAGTACACGTTGTAATTTGGTTTTCTTGCAGAGGACATTAGCCAGTCGCTGCAGCGGTACCATTACATGACATGTTTTTACAGTTCAGATAGCATTTCTGCATATTTCTGACAAAAGACAAAAGGCAGATTGTTGACGGCAGATAACCGCGGCATTCTGAGTAGCACAAGAAAACAAGCAGATTGGTGCAGCCAGTAAACACCACGAAATCCACAAGGATGCCCGTTACACAGTCAAATGACTTTTCAACTTCAAGTGAAATTGCTTTTGTCTAGACCGTGCTGGGCTGTCTCGCTGTGCCATGGTGTGTGGCACGAAGAGGATGGAGAAGAGGAGGCGGCGGCGGCGGCGGAGGTGGTGGTGGTGGTGGGGGGGTGTATTCTTTGTGTTCAAACCCAGCCAGCCATGCCAGCGAGTGGGAGAGTGAGCGCTGTCTCTGCCCCCCTGAGCCGAGTCTCTGTCCGGGTGTAATGTGAGTTTAATGACAGATTAAGTCACCTCAGCCGCGTTTGGCTCAGAGGCCTGGCTAGAAAGCCGAGTGGACCCAAACAGTGTTAACAAGTCTGTCTGGGTAACTTGAGCTGCCCTAGTCCAGGCTCTAGCCCCAGACCTAGACTGCAGACGATGCGGCTGGCTGCCTGTCTGGCTGGCTGGCTTACTTGTCTGCCTGTAGCCAAGGCCCTCTTCTGGAAGACTCTGGCCCCTGCACTGGCAGACAGTCAAAAGGCCAGAAGTGACCTCTGTGCAAGTGCAGACAGGCTCAGGCTTCTCTCACTTCCCCTCTTCGCCTCGCACACCGACCCAACACACCCAGGGGCAGCTCCTCGCACTGTGGCAAATGCCTTCTTTAGCGCTATGCGGCAGACAACTGATCTCAGCAGCGATACCAGATGACTTCTAAAATTTTCATTGCAGATTTACAGTTGTGCGCTCACGATAACACCAGTAGTCTGTGATACCAAAGAATCCCCCATTTAGCTAGTCGCCAGCTGATACGAACACCTTCATACGGGCCACATTTCATTGACAGGGCACATCCAATCCAGAGATTTTAATCACACAACAGACAGACGGGCCATGCTGCCAAAAGCACTGTCTCAGTGTTACATGACTGAAGGAACCCCATGACCCGCCAGCCGGGTGCATCCACACTGGCAGTCAGCAGTGTGGCCCAAACCAGTTTCTCTGAGATTAAGTCCTCCTAAGCACACTTATGCTTGCTTAAGGAATTGCGTGAGGCAGTGGGATGGGTAAGCCACACAAGACGTGGGTTGCCAGATGGCTCCTAGGATGACCACTGGGTCATCCAGTCTAGCTTCTTCTAGGTCATACAGAGCAAGGGCCTCGCCTTGTGCATGGGAGAAAGCGGCTTATACATGCAGAAGGGTGTCAAAAAATCTTTAATCGCTTGTGTCTGTGTCGGCGGCATTCCTGCTGCTGGGATCCAGTCACGTTGGCCACTGGTCTGTGCTGTTATGGAGGCAGACAGGAAGCTCAGGGAAGGAGATCTCTTTGAAAAGAGTCCTGAACAGTTAGTAGCTTCTGACTAGTGGTGCAGAGTGGAAACTAAATGAGAGAGACTGTGCATGAACTGGATTTTATCTTTTTTAATTGTGTGATTTAAGTGAGGCTTAACTTGAGATCTGGCACACTATAGCCAGTGGTGGATACCTGTTTCCTCCTCCTCAGTATGATAAGATAAAACCCATTTTATACTTGATTTATTGACTGAGGATTAAAGATTTAAAGCAGTTTTCAAGTATGCGACTGATTTAACCTTTGAACGAGGAAAAGGTGCAGAGCAAACCGGTCAGGGTCGGAAAATGTGTAAAGGTGCATTCCTTAACTCCATATCTCGACTATTTGTGGGACGCAAACCAAAATAAACTTGGCCAACGAGTCTGGAAGCTTCGTCTTGAAGCATTTTTTCCCCGACTGTCATCCTAGATTCCACATGCTGATTAAAAGAGACAATTCGGAAATCGCCTCTTGGAAAACGAGCGCGGACAAAAAGACGCTTCATTAAAGACGCATTGTTCGGTTTGACAATTTGTGACCCGGCGTCTGCGAGGAGCGACCGCGCAGCTAGTCGGCTAAGCTTAAGCTCCAACTCTGGCAAGCCCACTTCAGGCTCCTTAAAACAGCGGCCGGGCATGCATGGCACGTGCATCCAGCTGCTCTCTGACCTATGCCAGATTACTACATGCGATGGCCACTGCTGGCATCGTGCCAAGTCAAGAGGATATCCTGGCAGAATAAAAAGAGCTTTGACAGCTGTCTACTGCCAGCACAGCTCTGCTCTGGCCTGCTGACCAACTAAACAAACCATGGAGGCAGACAGAGGCAAAAAAAAAAAAAGACTGACTGGACAAGAGATTCCTGGAGCCAACTTCTAGCCATGGAGGTAGACGATGCTGCAAGAAACCCCCCAGACAAGTTGTTATTCTTCATATCCAGTACTCCTCTGTTTTCTTTCATTTAAAAAAATAGAAAGGAAGTGATTATACTGCAATCAACTGTCTATATTCTATATAAAATATTAAGTGTACCGAAAAACAAAACAAGAAAAACATTTACTGACTCTGAGCTTCTCTGTCAGATGCATCGTTAAGCTGCTGATTGACTGACGAGTAGGATAGAATAGGAATCATTTTTATTGATCCCCTATTGGGGGAGATTTTCATGCCACAGCAGCATCCAAAAATCTAGAAAGAAGGTACAAGAAAATAACAATAATTAAGTCATATGCATCCTGGTGTTGGCACAGACCAGGTCCAAGGCTTCATGGTCTCACCACAGTCCACATGCTGGCTGAATGTGTGGAGAGCGACGTATGGTTAAAGTCTCCTGATTTGACCACCAGAGACTGATGTTTGCAGCTGGGACACTGAGCTATGGATGCAGCTGCAGCAGCATCAGCCGAGGGGGGGGATTTAACCTGCAATCACCAGGATGTGTGAAAACTCCCTCAGCAGGTAAAACGGCTGCAAACCAGCCGCCAGCAGTTCAACATCCCTCGTGCAGCGGCGCTCTTTAACGTGCCCAGTGTTACCCCATCTCTCATCCACATACATGGCATGGAAACATGACATCATGGAAAAATAAAAACAGCCACAAAGATAACAAATCATCCGTTCTGAAAGCTCGACGTGCATCTGGGGGGTTGGAAAAACAAAGAGCTGTGAGAATGATGAGATGTGGCAAACAGACAAACGCTACCTTTGTGCAAACGGTGTCACAGACACACTACAGAGGCAGCGATACCCGCCGGCGGTATGCAGCCTAAACGACCCACCTCTGTCGCTTAAGTTTCCACGCTGGTGATTTATTAACCTCAAAACTGACGGCATCTTTCATGCATCGCTCTCATTATTTTATCGGTGCCCCGCTCGCTTCCTGGAGTCCTTTTTTGCGGTTGAGTTTGTGCCCCGTAATTCATGTTAAGTGGCGTTTCAAGAGCGCAGTGGCAGCGGTCCAAGACAACAGAGCAACATTAACATGCTACGTTCAGGATCTTTCTGATAAAGACGCCGTGTGGTTCAGTGGCTTCGCGCTATGTACACGTATTGGGGGAAATTTTCTAGCATTCTTGTGAAGGTTAACAACAAAAACAGATGGAACAGATGCAGGTTTTTTGTTTTTTGGATACAATCCTACAGCAGATAAGTATCGTAAAAGAAAGTTAAATGACCTCTGCTGTCAGCTCTCAATTTCTCATCGAGGGCAAGTTATTTTGTCGAGTCTGGCTCCCGCAGTTGCCTCGGGTTCCAAACGTCTGAGAAAAATATCGAAAGTAAATTGAATAATATCAGATAATACTAATAATCTCTTCCTGTTTAGGTAATAAGATCATAAAAGGAAGAGTAGGAAATGTTCACTTGAGAAGATTTTGCCTTTTAGCCATGTTTAGAAAAGCCAAAACCTAAAGAGAAGACGATAAAAAAGAGTCACTCAAACAGATAAGCTATCCTT